TGAGGGCTATCTTTAGTGATCCAATCCCAAGTGTACGTCATCGGATGTATAGGTGAAAGAGTTAGTTTAAAGTAATTTGTGAATGAAAATACCTTTGTTTTTCTTTTACACACGCATTATATCAGATATGCATCAGTTGGAAAAGAGAACGAACAGTATTCATCAATTATTCAATCACTCTTATAATGAAAATCCCATTACAAGCAGATCTAGACAATTATAGGGAAAAGACCTCACACACGACATCTTAAAATACAGAGTTAAAAAGAAAAATAATAAATAAAATATCACGAAAGCATCAGATAATTGTGACTTATTATTATATTCTGTTACATCAACATTATTGCTAACAATTTGCCCTTTTTGAATTTCCTCTATTCATACGATTAATTGCCCATTATTTATCTTACTAGTGAATTGCCACCATTACCTACATAAGTGCAGGTGTACAGTTCTGATTTAAAAGTATCTCCTAGGTCATCTTTCGGTCTTCAGCATGAATATTTTTTGTTCTGCTCCTCGCCCCGTTCGCCTTATTGCCCTTTTTCAGCACCTTATTCAAAGCCTCTCATATTATTAACCCGGATATTTGCCGAAGACTTGGTTACTTTACCCAGAAGCCTATAAATGTAACGTCTGAAGAATATCGACCAGATCTAAACACATATACCTTATCAGTTCCTGTTATATTCATACCTGGATCTACCTTGTATTGTTTCGGAGTCATTATCAGCTCGTCGTAATGCAACCGTTGCAACGCGCTCCAATTATTCGCATTTTACATTGCAGAGTCTGGAAAATTATTTATAATTTTATGTGGAAAATTTTTGCCATCTATATGAAGCCAATGTATCTTGCGAAATATTTCAGTAACGGAAAGACGTTTTACAAAAATATGTTAGCGATCATAACAGTTTGATATAGCCCGTAAATTTGCATGCCTCTTGTAACATGTTTTTTATTTGAGAATAAATTGCTATTTCAGAAAATGTTGTTATGCCTCACATAAATATTGTAAAGAATAGTTCCTGATTCCTTTTAGTTATGACCTTCGTGTTCTTTTGGGCCTCTGAACAAGACATGAATACTAACCTACTACATTTATGCTGCTGGCGTTTTATTTATTTATATAGCGGGCAAATAGTAAGCTCCCAAAAACTGCGTGACTACGTAAGAGAATCTACTATGGGCCCCATGGCCACAAGGGTGGTTGAGGCTAGTTGTAAATGATCGCTGGAGGTCAATGAGAGACATCACTCAGTATATCGTCGTACATAAAGTAGTTCGGATGATTCATTAGCCTAAAAAGAAAAGATCCTGAACTTAGTGAGGCACAAAACTCTTGTTACTGGTGAAAAATCTTGGTATAAATATAAAGTCTGTCTGAAGGATTCTGATTGTAGCTCTAAATTTGGATTGAGAAATAGATGCAATGCGGAAGTTCGGAGCAATAGGATATATCTCTGCTAAGTTATGTCCTTAACTGGATGACTCGTAAACGACCAAGAAAACAGAATGTTTCCCTACAAGGTAAATAAAGTGCATGCAGTCTGGCGAATCTCTAAATCACGAGTTACACTGTGGACCACCTTTCGCTAACCTACGAGTGTTCCTGATGGGTAGTGGGCTGTGTGATCCGCGGTGAAAGTGCGTGCATTAGGCTTGCCAATAAACAGTTAGTAAACAGCGGTCAATAAAGCCAAAACGAGGAGTGTTTATCAACGTGTTTATGAACAGTCTTCAATACCAATTATTATGCCAAATTATCCGTATACTTACTTAGTTCTGGAATCTTCTACTTATTAGCATTAGACTTTTCTCCTTATTATTCTCCACATTGCAACTAAATGATCTCCGGCCTGCTAACGTAACAGCTGCTGGTATCCAGAAATCTTACTTTCCTGGAACAAACGTACTCATTCATATAACGGGACATACGAACTCTAACAAAAATAACATTTAGAATTAGTGAGGTCGAGTGGCCAGACACTTATCCGTTGCACCCTACCAAGCACCTGGAACTGTACCGAAAGAACAATTATCGAGCGCCAATAAATCAGTTGATTTGTACTAGCTCTTGGAAAGGATATTGAATACTGTAAGGTATCTGTTTGAGTCTTAACGTTATATCAAGGTTAGGGGTTGGTAATTAGATCACTTATATATTTCGAATGTTTGATGCAGTATTTTCATGGCGTAAATAGTTGAAACCAATTTAAATGATTATTCTGAAGGATGCACTGCAAATAACCTGGTTTTTGTCTCATGTACGTAGCAAACTTCGCAACTTGTACATTTCCCAATGTTTTAAGATCGTACCTGGCAACTAGACTATAATCCCATATGTAACTTATAAAGTTCCAGCCTACCACACGTTTTGATTTCTTTAAACTGCATACTTTACTGACTGATGAATCTATCACCAAGGCCAAGTTGTTTTGCTAGTTTCCATCTTTGGACAAGTCTAGAAACTGTAATTGTCCTCTCAAATTAAATAACTCACTAAAAGCACTATTAACTTTGAATGTATAAATTATTTATGAGGTTACTTTATCTAGCAATCTGAATAACGACCAAATATTCGCCACTTAACATCGAATCGTTCGGAGCAATAGGATATATCTCCGTACGGAGCCAACTGCTAAAATATATCCTTAACCTTATGACTATAAAAGACCTACAAATCTGGTTGTATTTACTCATGTTGGTTTGACAGGCAAAGATTTTAGTAATGTAGAGATGCCAACTTTAATAAGAAGTTAAACCAGGGAACCATCAACCTCAACCTTAGTGCTAGAAAAAGGTCACTCCCCCCTATTTCCCATAGGAAAAGATAGGAAAATTTCTGCCTGTTACAGATCTTTTGCATTACTGACAATGTTCCTCCAGTTGACATATGGACTGGCCAATAAACGGATGAAGGGGAAAATGAATAAGAACAACATTATGCATGAAGCCCGAAATGGTTTTGGGAAGGGTAGATCTTGTGCATCAAGTCTTCTCATAACACGTGACATCTTAGCAACGTTCTGAAACCAAAAGGTGCGAGTCCATGTAATATAATCACAATTTGCTACTTAATTAGATAGTTTCTCACGTACTCTTAATCGCAATTTTGGAAAGATTGGCAACTTCTACCTTGGCTCTTAAGCGACCGAGAAAAACACATTGCAACTAACTGATCTCCGGCCTGCTAACGAGATAGCTGCTGGTATTCAGAAACTCTACTTTCCTGAAACAAACGTACTCATTCACATATCGGGACACACGAACTCACAAACAATAAAAACAACAACTAAACACCTTCTCTTGCTTCTCATGTTCTCCATCTTCCTTCTGATCTCTTTTTGAAACATATGGTTCTGAGTAATATGATTTGGTGAAACCCGTGTAGTTTTTTGTATGCGTTTGTGTGGGAATATGATACCGGCGATGACCAGTTTGGTGAAGGCACATAGAGTTGCGAATTTTCCTCAGCATCAGTGCGACTCCTTGTGTGTGAGGCATTTTCTTCTTAATGGACAGAGTATTACGGCAGTTCTCCTGAAGAATGTTCCAGTTTCCTAACTTGCGTCCAATGCGTTTCACTGATTACAAACACCTCCAAATTTTATCTTTTCATTTCTGCAGCAACTTGGAACAGTCTTCCAGAATGTTCGAAAATTCCATGTACCTAAAAGGATGGTTGCTCTAGTGGTCAAAAGGGGCATCGGCATCGTGACTTCTGAAGGAACTCATATAAATAAAGACCCTCTAACTCCTAGGGCAGAGTTAAAATGGTCTGAAACATTTTTTCTGGTTAGCGTTTTTTTAGCGAGTTAGTTTCCTACAGGGTATCGTCAAGCCCAAGCCCAACCCTCCACTTTTATCCGGAACGGCATTAGCCACAGAGGGGCTCAAGGCTGAGCATCATACGTGGAGAAATTCAAATACTTAACTTCTACTCGAAGTTTGTGCCGATGATGTTGTTCAAAAGAATAATGAAATCTCTGCAGCCAGACCATTCAGACTGGAGTACAAAACTACACCAGAAATATTCACTAGAGTTAAAAATTACCTTTAGCATCTCAACACTTATTCATGCTTATGTGTTATACGAAAACCATTCCAGGGTTTATAAGAAACGCAGTTATACACCAAAATTTCAGTAATATCTACATGAACTATAATTAAACAGATTATTTAATATGTAGAAGAATAATAAGTTGACTTTGAGGTATGGAGAGGAATCAAGATATATGTGAAAATTATATAATGTTTATTTTGGTGGGTGAGAATAAAGGCAAGCGGTAATCTGTGAATTGCACATAAGATTTTTGAAAAACCATCTGATGGTAGATTAAGGCTTTGCACATTGACAGTTTAGTACTATGCGATGAAAGTCACAAATGAGAGCAACAATTGGTCAACTTAGTCACATGCTTCTGGACTCATCGACCATATTCTAAATACATCTTTAAACTTCTTTTTTCCAAATTCCTGCTTGGTTGGGCTTCAGATCCTCGATTATAAGGGTGTAACGGACAACAGCTTGTCAAGCCCCAATCATCCGTGACATCTTTAGTCTGTTGAGCATGAGGGTTTTGTGCAATTTTACATACAACAAGCATAGTGGGATGTCCAATTCAAATGGAAAATCCGCAAATAGAAACCTATGAAGTTATAGTTCTTAGAAGGTAGAGACGATATTGACGAATTGACTTTCCTAGATTTCATATGAAGTTACAGAATGAGGCTTCCATTTAATTATTCCCTCCGCCTTTTTAAGGACGCTTTCAATCTGTATTTCATTTTTAATTTCAAGTGTTGTTGTCCACATTAATGTTCAAAAAGTTTTATATTAAGCATCAAAATGTACCGAAAGAATAAGAATCGAGCTTAAATAAATCTATTAGTTTACACTAGTTCGAAAATGATATTGATCATTGAAACATGTTAGCATATGTTGATAGTTGTGTAACGGTGTTCAACAGATGTTACTTATTTGCTTTACAGCAGTATACTAATAGTAATAATATCGGGTACGTCAGATACTTGTTCTTTGTTTTTCTTGGACAATCACTCGAATTGGCTTGGTGATTTTTTAATTTCGACAAGACTTTTTCTGGAAAATAAAAGCTGCTGATTTATGTTTAATTCTGATTAATGTTAGCTTTCGCTAGTAAACTCATGTTTCAAAGTCTTATGTTTTGGCACACCTTAGTGGCAGTCTTAATATACATAACGGTTCTGCATTCACCCGAAAAAGGATAAAGTCAGAGCTTCACTGAAATAGTAACACACATAACTGTGTGGACAGAAGAAACATTTGAGAAAAAAAACAAACTGGTTCATGCCTCATAAATTTGTGCTTTGTTCTTGTTTGGCGGCCGCTAGCTTTCTTCCCACCTACTCCTGGACCACAAAACATCGCTCGTCGAGGCAGTCGGCGGTTAGGTATTCGTAACACACGTCCCAACCACCTCAACTGATGCAGTTTCTCTACTTCGTAAATTCATTTGCCATCTCTCCCTAGTCCTCGTTTTCTAATAACAGGATTGCTTATTTAGTTGTCCCATGATACATGAGCAGTGCCTTGGAGACACATATGACCGAAAGCAAGCCACCTACGAATATCTTCAACTCTGACTGGCCATGTTTCGCATCCATATAGCAGGACAGAGCAAACTACTGGGTAGTAGACTTTTCATTTGGTTAGCAAATGAATATCTCATCTACGCCATAATTGTCGCAAACTGACAGAAGCCAGACGAGTCTTGTGTATCCATGCTGAAATTTCGTCAGACACCAGGTCATCAGCGCTATGAGACTCCCGAGATGTGTGAAGCGGTCGACACGCTTGAGTCTTCGGAACGAGTGTCTATGTTCTAGGGCCTGGCGTAGTGCCAATATCTGGTCCAATCTCAGGTCAAAAACCAGCCTGGTTTTCTCTAGTCTGCTCTTCACGAGCTCTAGTTAGATGTCCGAGTATTAAGAAGGCCAATGTATTAGACACTTTACTATTTAAACGGACCCTTCTGTGATTATCACAAGAGGACTTTTGTCCTTTCTTGTAGACTGGAACAATCATTGATTGAGACCAGTCATACGGGATTACGCCCAGTTCCCAGATTCTACCTATGATCTCAGTCAACCTAACTACTAAAACTGGATCATCATCTCTAAGAATCTCAGAGGTGAGCCTGTCATGTCCTAATGCTCCCCCTACACCAAAAATCTTATAGCTTTCTTAATTTCAGTGCGAGTCGGAGAACTTACATCGATTCCCCATTCAGGATGACTGAAGATCGTGAGTATCTATTTGAAACTTAAAATAGAAAAAGCACTTGAGTAACAATTTCAGGACAGAAACAAAGGAATGCCTATAACAATGCTAAAGAAAAATAAGTAAGGTGGACAACTCTGACATACACCACTGAACGTTAATAATTTCGATGTCAGTTCATCATAACTGACTCTTGTAGTAGTTTTTAATTAGCGAATCTATACAGTGTTTATGTACTTTGGTATGACAGTCACTGCCATACAACCCGTCAATCTATGGAATCAAACGCTGCCTTGAGGTTTGCATATTCCTGACTGTAAGCTATGTTCGTAGCGTAGGGGTTTGGGAAGACGGTGAATTCGAGATAAAGTGACGTTTTAACCTTCACCTTAGCAATCGAAGGTACAGTAATTTTACTGCAGTCTCCTACACTGAAATAACTTTGATTTATCATCATTATATGAGCTTTGGGTTCAGAGTTTTAATTACTAGGGTCAAGTTTAGCACTTCAAAGCTGATTGCTGCAAGACCTGAGATAGGGCTTAGGTCGCATAAGTAATTTAAGAAGAAATTGTATAAGCGTATTATGGGGTCGTAAACATCTATCTATCTCTTTCTCAGTTATTGTTAAAGAATCCTACAGTAATCAAACGGATCGACAATAGGTTCGACTACCATATGCTTTCTTACTGTCTGTTTAAATTACTAATCCTCATCGTGGGTAAATTTTGCTAGTGTTTAAAACTTTAGTGATGTATGCTGAGCTCTTTATGCTGAAGCATCCAACAACATATGTTACAAACAGGTGACAAATTACGAATTTTTTATTGCTCAAACCCTTCCGTTCATAACTTTCTCTAAGTAGGGTTATTGAGGGTCAGATGACTTGTAAATAATAGTCGATCAAAATAAATGCTGTGTTGGCAGATAATTTAGTTACTTCTTTTTTTCTAGGCAAATATTTATTACTTTTTAAAAGTCAAGCATCAAATAGAAACTTTCCTTTAGTACATCTCAACAATCTAATACTTTTCTGGCTAAAATGGCCGGTACCGTAAGTATATTAGGTGAAAAGATTTTCTTTTTAGAATCCTGTTGATCACAGAAGAAAATGGGATAAAGCTCATTTTGAGAAATTGGCAAGTGATAAGCTTAGCAATGAGTTAGAGGCTATGAGAAATGCTCGGAAAGAAAAGGAAACCATCAAAAAGGAGTATTTAAAAGCTCGTGATTACACAGTAAATCTTCCTAGAGTTGTAACAATTATGTTGTAAAGATAGATTTAGAATCTAACCTAAACAAATCCCAAGTGATCGCAAAGACCGGACCAGGATCTTCACAAGCAGGCTACTACTGTGAAGTTTGTGACTGTGTCGTAAAGGATTCAATTAACTATTTGGACCATATAAATGGTAAAAAACATCAAAGAAATATGGGAATGTCAATGAGAATTAAAAGATCAACTTTAGAAGAGGTTAAAGAAAGGTATAACTCTAGTATTATAACTCTGTTATAGGTTTCAGCTTCATAAGCAAAAATCCGAAGAAAAAGCAGAAGAGTACAGTTTAGATGAAAGAATGCGACAAATCGCCGAAGAAGAGGAGAAATTTAAAGCTTACAAACAAGAAAAACGCAAAGAGAAAAAGCGTAAAAATGATGAACAGTTTGAAGACTCCGACGTCGCAGCAGCTATGGGATTTGGTGGTTTTGGAAAAAGATCAAAGTGACCATTGTACACATTTGTAAATAACCAGTTTTTCTAATTATGTGCTGTATTTAGATGGACGATAAATTTGATACTTCCAAATGGTTGTCATGTTAAAAGTTTTTAGGGTTTATAACAACGAAAAAACAGGATATTTTAGTAGTTTGCGACTCTCTTTGTTCCAATCGAACCACTCTCAAAAACAGATATTGGCTCATACACTTTTCAGTTTTTTTCACTGCTTGAATTATCGTTTCGGCGAATCAAATAAAGACTTGGCAAAGTTAAAAAATTTATTTGCGAGTGATTATAACAAGTAGGAAGGGTAGTTTTTAGAAAAATATATTTTAACAACTTTTTGATATCCAGATAAATTTTTTTTCCAAATAGAGTATAATCATAGCTTCATTCTTGCTCCAACGTGTATCGGTTGCCCATATTTCTGGTCTAGATAAGTTACGTCTGGTTTCTCCAATTTATTTTTCTTTGCTTTCTTTGAGCATCGCGAAGCAAAAACAGTGCACAGATCAGAGCACTTATCTGGATTTTGAAATTCAATAAAAAAATTAATGGGGATATATATGTATATATATTTGAACACGCTGCATAACATATTCATTGGTTGGAAGCAACCTGTTAAAGCTAAACCCACTGGCATATATTGGCTTAAATTAAGAGGCATAATGAAGTTGAGTGGTATGGTACTAAAGCTTTGATTATCTTTTTGGTCAACATCATCAGCACAGACTTCATAGAAATTATTTGAACTTCACACATGAATTGTTACTTGTCTGCTTACTAGCTTACAAAGGAACTAATAATGATTAATACTTTTTGAAACCCACTGCTAACTAAGGAGTAGGAGACTCCTGTTATTGTTGTTAGCTCCATCCTTAGGGCCTTTGCACAGGGGATTTAAAGCCATTATCCAATCAAAGAAGTTTGCGGAATAGCATAATTTTTAGGATAGAGAGCAATCTGCTGTAACAGCCTGTTCCCAAGGCATAGTAAAAATAAGTGATTATACAAATGTTTGATCTTATATTTTGCTAAATAGCATCTCCTGTTGCTTGACATATTAACTGACTGAAGGTTAGTTACAAAGTGACTTCAGTCGAACTTAAATTAATACATTTATATATTATGATAATATGCATGCTGATATATTTTCGTTGTTGGTCCCTGTGACTCTAATAGTTGCGAAATATTCATAAAACATCTAATGACTACTATAAATTGCTTAGTTTGATTTAATTAGAATCAGAAGTGGTTCCAGGACTCTTCGTCTATTTATTTCATAGCTCATAGAACAGATAATCGTGACCGTCTGCAGCAGCTTTGCTCAGATAACCACCTTTTCCTGGCAAACGCCAACTTTAAGCACAAGGAAAAACATCTTTTGACGTGGTGACCCCCAAAGTCTTCACAACACTGGAACCAACTAGATCACATCGCTACCATCTACCGATGGAGGGGCTCGATCGAAGACTGTCGCTCGTCCTGGAGCACATGTTTCAATTCAGACCATGCTCTAGTATAAGCGCGTATTTGTTTGCGTCTTACTGTATATATGAAGGACAGTGCAAAGAAACCCGTTAAGAGGTCTACTGAACGGTAAAGTAGCCAAGAGTATAGTACAGGAGCAACTAGAAAGAGAGTTAGGCAACAATGTAAGAGATTCCCATTCGGAAGCAGGTTGGAATGATATCAAAAAGCTGTGGAAACAGCAGTGATATCCGTCAGTAACTAAGGCAAAAGGTCAGGGAGAAGCAGTAGATCTCTGAGGCACTTGCTGAACTAATTGACGTTCAGAAACTCATCCCGTCTGGCTATGAACATGATCAGGAGCAGAGGCAGCTCAAATACAAGCTCATAAAAAGCGCACGCAATGATCATGAGTAGTCAGTCAGTCAGTTGCAACGTAGAACTTCGTGCGTATGTACATAAGTTCAGGTTGCCATACCACATTAGCACAGAGACGCAAATGTCAAATCAAATCACATAGTGATAAAGATAGTAGAGGTATTAATGGTAATGAACAAGACTAGGGTTCGAAGATATAATTCAAGAAGTATAATTCAGTGAGATAAGGTTAGAAAGACAAAGGTAGAGGTGTTGACGGATCCAGAAGATTAGGATTGGAGAGAGCACAACGAATGGATGCACTTGTGCCATTGCAAACGATTTTGAGCCATGTCGTTCAAAGTCTCTAACCATCGGTGACTTTCGTCTCGCGAACCCCAACCAGATAGTCTATAACTACCAACATTGTTCAGTCCACTTGCAGTGACTTCATGTATTTCTGCCATGTTTTGGTCTGGCCGCCCCTAGCTTTCTTCCAACATACTCCTACACCAAAAAACATAGCTCTTCGAGGCAGTCGGTGGTTCGCCATTCGTAACACATATCCCAACAACAGCATTGCTCATACGGTTGTCTCAGGATACACGAGCAATGCTTCGGAGACACCGATGATCGGAGATTAATAACCTACGAAAGTCCTCTACTCTCAACGGCCATGTTTTGCATCCGTGTAGTAGGATGGAGCGACCTGCTGAACAGTACACTCGTCCTTTTTCTGCAAACGGATATCTCGCCTGCGCCACAGGTGACGCAGGTTGGCAAAAGTCAATCGAGCTTTCTGTATCCGTGCTGAAATTTCGTCAGTCACCAGGCCATCAGCATTGATGAGACTCCCCAGACAAGTGAAGCGGTCTACACAGTCGACTACTTCACTCCCTATCACTAGTTCAGGTGCCGATGCAACCAAATCCCGATTCAGCATTTTGCATTTCGACGGGGAGAACCGCATCCCGAATATGCTTGCATTGTAGCTTAGGGTAGTCAGAAGGCTCTGCATTTTGTCAGCGTCTTCACCGAATAGAACTATGTCATCGGCGTATTCTAGATCAGTAAGCGATTTTCCTGGTAGAAAGTCGACTCCTGAGAATTCAGACGAGGATAAGGTTACATCTAGCAGCATGTCAATGACAACATAAAACAAAAATGGGGAAAGTGGACATCCCTGACGGACATCACTTGAAGTGAAGAATTCCGGTGACAGTTCGCCATATGCTCTCACTCGACCAGTGGTGTTCGAGTAGAGAGCTTGTATAAGGTTAATGTACTTCTTTGGTACACCTTTCAATGACAGACACTGCCACAGAACAACAATTTATAAACTATATTAGTTAGATTTATTCCCCTGTGGTTGTCACAAGAAGACTTTTGTCCTTTCTTATAGATTGGGACAACCAGTGATTGAGACCAGTCAGATGGATTTGTGTCCAGTTCCCAGATTCTACCTAAGATTTCAGTCAATCTAGCTGATAAAGCTGGACCACCATCCTTAAATATCTCGGGGGTCAGTCTATCATTACCTGCAGCTCGCCCTCGCTTAAGATTTCCTAACGCTTTTTCAACTTCATAACGGTTCGGAGGGCTTACGTCGACTTGCCATTCAGTATGACCGAAGTGTGGCCGAAGGCCAGTTGAACTGCTCCCTATCGATCCAGTCTATTGGATTGAGAATAAATAACAGTCCCATTCTTTTTCGGAGATAGTCTCACTTACACTAGGATTCCTAATACCAGTTTCCTTGATAAGCCGTAAAAGTTGTCTACTGTTGCCGATCGCCGCTGCCTTTTCCATCGCTTTTGCTTTCGCCACCCACCACTGTTCGCGATCGTTACGTAGGCTTTTTATAAGTCTGCGCCTAAGTTGACTTCGTTCTTCATCATGTTCAGAGCCAAGCAGGCTGAGTTTTCGAGCATCCATCAGTTCCGTGGATACGACTGAAATCCACGGCTTCATTCTGGCCTTATGGTCAACCTTACTAGCAGATATCACTGCTGTTTCCACAGCCTTTTTGATATCATTCCAACCTGCATCCGGATGTGAATCGCTTAAATGGTCGCCTAACTGTCTTTCTAGTTGTTCCTGAAATATATTCTTAGCTTTATTATCATTAAGTAAAACCCTAAGTGGCTTTCTTACGGTGTCTTTCGTACGCCCTGTAAGCCTCAAACAGATACGAGCTCGCACTAGGGCATGATCTGAATCTAAACATGTGCCCCAGAACGAGCGACAGTCATCTATCGAATCCCTCCATCGGTGGCTGATGGCAATGTGATCTAGTTGCGTCCAACTTTGAGACGACTTTGGAGGTCGCCAGGTAAATAGATGCTTTTCCTTATGCCTAAAATTAGTGTTTCTAGAAATAGTTGGTTATCTGAGCACAGTTGCAACAGACGGTCGCCATTGTCTGTTCTCTGAGCCGCGACACCATAACATCCACCTAGGTGTCTTTCATTTTCACTTAGTCTACCTACTTGAGCATTAAAGTCACCAGCCATTATTACTACATCGGGGCGCCTAGCTTTTTGGAGGAGGTCCGAAAGCTTTCTGTAAAACTCATCTTTCACATCGTCTGGACTACAGTCAGTGGGGGCATAAGCTGATATGACGAAGATGCAACGGCGATTGTCCCTATCTTTCCGAGTCCTTACTGTCCCGTTTAGTCGGACAGCGCAAAAGCGACTATCTACTGGGATTCAGTCTAGGAGAGCTAGTTCTGCCCTACGACTCAATGCTATACCTACACCAGCGAGACCTTGGGAAGCAGCATCAGGGCTTCCAGAAACACGAATAGTAAATCAAGTTGCTTCTTTATTTTGACAAGGTGAAATCAGATTAATAATTTTACTAGGATCCTGTATGCGCGTTTCCGAGACGCAGCATATATCGAAGGCACGAGATTCTAGAGTCCTAGTTAATGAAGCCTGTTGCCCTATTTGACATAATGCCCGTACATTAAAAGCTCCAACATGTAGTCTAGAACGGGGTTTCAAGAGGCCAGGAATGACGTTTCGTGAACTCGCTTGGTCTGCATTAGCTGTGCAGTGAGAAAAGAGACTGTGAGTAGAGTTAGTTGTGGAGAGAAGGGAGGTATGTGTGGGTGTAGGAAGGATTTGATTTTGACCAATTTGGTCTCGTGTGCTGTTACGGGTATGAGGGCGGTTGTCACTTCCCAGCTGCCCACACCGTGGAAGGTTGTTTCTTGAGGGACCTCAAAAGGAAGATAGAATAGTGTTGGTCTTAGAGACCTGGGTGCGTGACCGCCAAGCCCAAGGGACAGCTGCTTGAGGCCGGTCACGCACGGCCTTTTTATGAGAAGTTTTTTGAGGATTAGCTCCGCTCTTAAAGGTTCTTACCACCGGAGACGGAAATCCGTGAGGTAGGGTGAGGTGTGACATATTTAGGGTCGACCTTTTCTAACCCCTCCTTCCTTGTGAGAAGGCAGAATCGCTGCAGATGCTGGTTGTCCGAGGGAAACACCTTACTGCTGTCACACCTGTTCGCGGTCAGCAGTACGACTTCGCCCTCAGACCTTGTGTAGCTGCTTTTAGTCTCATCGCTCTCCAATCGACGTGCCTGGCATAGTAGAACCTTCAGGAACATAAGTTCCAGCCAATATAGCTCGGTTGGGTCATCACGATAGGCAAGCCGGACCACCACGTCAAGGTAGCAGCTTCGGTCGT